GCTGCTACTGCTTTCACTATTGGGAAATTTCATGTTTCACTTAGTAACTGGCTCACGATTTTTGTCCCGAAAATGCGAAGTCTCAATAATATGCTCAATGAGTCAATAAGTTGGTGTCTTTTTCTTCTAAAAACATGAAAGATAACATCAAAGAAGTATTATAATACATGTTTTAATTCTCTGTAGGCGTGCATATTATTTTTAAGAAAAAAATCGTCCTTTAACTGCACACTCCTAGACATGTCAAAGATGTACTGAGTACATTTTCAAGTTATTTGGTTGAATTCTAAAATTTGATACCCGTGTTACGGAAAGTTCAAACTTTCAGGAGAGTTGCCCATATACAAAACACGTTTGGTTTGGGACTACCAGAGAGGGTTGTGTCAAAACGCTATTTCTTTTTCAACTTGGGCAATCTAGCTGTCCTGTTGTCACGATTATGCATTATAATGCAGATCACTCAGAGTGTGAGAAAAATAGCAGAAGTGTGCACCAAGTTATAGAAAATATCTCTGAGCCGCTGTTTATTGCCCATTAGGTTGAAAGATTTTCCGCGCCTGAAAAAAAAACCCATTATGAAAATGTGTTCGTTAATGTAGGCCTACTTCAAATCAGCATGCATATTTTTTACCACCATCTACTCGTAGAGTAGAAAAGAAAAGCTCTTTTTACTAGCAAGTTGTACATGTATTAACATTTAAACACATTTTAAGTTGTGAAAGGACAACATGCCTTTATATCACCAACGTCTGCCATAAAACCAATGAATTGAGAAAGGAATATATTAAAGGTCTTGGGTGTGCTGAAGAAACCCGTTATCAAAGCATAGCACCCATAAATAAGAACCAAAATATTCCACCGCAACACGGAACTGCTGCAGAAACCGGTGAATGATTCCTGGAACTTCCAGTCGGAAAGCTCACACGATCGAAGAAGAACGTTAAGCTATGTTATTAACATTTTTCAATCGAAGGGTTGATCAACCACGACCGATGCTTGGTTACACTTGCTTGACGTGTTGTCGTGTTTATTGTTGTTTTGGTGGTTGGCATGGGCCTCACCCAAGGATCTTACAACAAACTGTAACTAGGAGCGACAACGTTTCTCGGAATTGGGTCTGGAAAGGGATAGGTGGAAGAGGGTGCAGTGCATTCTTCTTTTGTGTTGGCGGTTGAGTTTGGAGCATTTGCGGGTGATGGTTCTACGTCATTGATCAGCTACGCTGGAATCAATAACGGTATAAATTGAAGCCTAGACTAGCCCAGTTGTTACTCTTCCAAGATACTTCAAACTTGTCTCTTCCTCCGGCTGTTGCGTTTGTTGCAAAGACGACTGCTTCCCGCCATATTTGATACCAGTTTGAACGAATCAAACAAAGATCACTGCCATCCTAAGTGCCTGATTCGTTCGCAGCCGCAAAAGGAGAACTTAACAAGGTAGGTCAATTGGTAGGCTACGCTTAATAACTACACGATTTTAATATCCATCAATGTCCAATTCTTGTTTTAAGAGTGTCTTTACGGTTAATGTGATGCATTTTCGTGGTATTCACGCCTGTATGAAAAAAAACCCTTGACAAAATTGCTTCCTGCCGTAACCCCGTCCCGCAAATCAAAATCAACTAACGAGCATAAAAATAAACACAGTCTCTCCCACCACCCCCAATAAACAAACAATCAAACAAACGAACGATCCCCAAGCAGACTTTCTGCAGTTACTTCAAGTCGGTTGAAAAAAACAAAACAGTGTTGTACCAAGATATGAAAATGATCATGTGGTTACATGTGCTCTAGTGTCGATTTTTGAAAAGCCCTGGGTTGTATTTGGAGATATCGGTTAATAAATTATATCAGAATCTCTCCGACACACACGATGCGCCCATAGTGGCATAATTATTTGAATAACTGCTGAAATCTGTGGGATTTTACATTCTTTTAGAACGGAATATGTTATTTTGAAGGAAGAGCACGCGTTTTTATGACTGTTTACTGGACTCAAAGTAAAGAAAATAATTGTAAATAAGAGTAGAAC